TTTATACCTGAAGTGTAAAATTTCGTTTCTTTCAAAAACCTTTTGTTTCATTGAATGCTATGATACGAATATTTGTTGTGATTCTTCTTTTTAAATAATTTATGATAATGCAATAGTTTGATTTCAACATATGATGATATTATTTTTGATATCCAACATGTGTTACAGGCAAGTACCTGCTCGGTGGATTAGTCATCAGCAGCTTAGAGCTTATAATGACTGTGGTAATTCTTCATTTCAAACACTCGGAGGTCAAAGATGTAAACATGTCTAGAAGAATGCAAGCCTTTGCAAACGGACTTGCATCCATAACCTTCAATAGGAAAAGAGGATGTACAAGGTATGTATACGTTACCCCCTCCCCTATAGTTACGGCACTTTATATCTGTTCTAACATACATACACGATAGTTTTAACAACATAGTAACATTTATATAGTTAACATATCAGTTATCTTCTACATGTCCAAATAGTGTCCTCTTTATGTTTACTTTACCCCTATAGTTTCAGTAATTTCTATTTGTTCTTACATACCTGTACAGAATTGCTTTAACAACATTTATACAGGTAACATATCAGTTATCTTCTTCATGTCCAAACATTGTCTTCTTTCAAGACAAAAATTCTTGTGTTTTTGATTCTTATTTATTAATCTTCTTACAATATTCATATTTTATTATTTATATATACTCGTATACGTATAAAAATTGTACGTTTACATTCAGACAACCAAAGGTCCATACAACAGATTCGGACATCAAGCCGACACTTGTGTTAGAAGAATTTGGACAGGAGAAAGTCACTGATATTGATGAAGAGGAAATTGAAAAAGACTGTCACTATACATATGAAGACATTTCTACAATGATTGAAAAGTTGTCCTTGTTTATTTTCACCTTAATTACATTTGTGTTCACTCTTACAGTGTCAATGATGATCTTATATTGATTTCTTCTGACCCTGACCCTCAGGCCTGACTTGACTTGTTATATATGATAGATAACAATCTTGAAATGTATCTACATTAATTGTTATATTACTGAGAGGAATCTTCTGTTCTTTGTAAAATGTTGTTATCGTTATTGTGTTACATTTATTAGAATTTGATATTAAGTAAAAGAAACAATGACACTTGGTTTGATTGAGTCTGTTTGTGTCAAGTTATTATTGTCAGATTATTGTCAGATTATGAACACTACAACATGTATTTATAAACAGTGGATATTGAAACAGTCACGAGCAACATACACATGTGTCCTGCTAAATCGATACTACTTTAGCAAGTCGCAAAACAAAACACTGCTTTTATAGTCTAAGCAAAAGTACCGGTAAAAAAATTACCAAGTGACGTCGAGCGACAATGACGTCAAATAAACGTCAGATGTTAACGACAGTATGGGCAGGTATGTCAGCTAAAGACGTCGTCCGGCATTTCTATTGCCAAAAATAGACAATAATCGGCCGGCAGAACGGATTTCAGCAAACTGGGAGCTTCACTGATACGCAAAGATCTGGTATGTCACGACGTAACAGATCTCTGTCAAGCTGTCAGTTAGTCCGGCTTATGTTGAATGCTACCGGGACTAGGGTATATCACACTGTAACTTACTAAGGAACAGGCGCCAATTGGTTAGGACCCATCGTCACTGGAAACGCAGAATATGGAACGATGTCATTTTTAGGACAAATCTTGTTTTGATGTGTCCTTTGCTCACGACATATTTCATGTTTGTAGAAGAAGGATCGAAAGGATCACTCACGATAAAGTAGTACAACGAGACCAATATGGCGGTTACAGTCACATTGTCTGGGCTGGAACATAACATGATTTGCCTGGCCTGCAAGATCACCGCTTCTTTCTCCAATATATGTTATCCGGAATTCGGCAAATCTGGGGTTTTCCCAGCTAATCTGTAGGTACAAACAAACTTTTACCATTTTAGTTTTATGGTGCATTAGACAACATGTTGAGCTTTTTTTCGAAGCTGTACCTGTAAAAAAAGTTTTATGTACCTACGGATAAGCTAGGGGATAAAACTGAAATATTCTGTATTTCGGAGTAGGTCTGTTTGAAGTTTATGGGCTCACTTAGGTGTTGAGGTTTGAGAAAACCAAGTTTGATAAAGTCCGTGATTTTGAAAATGAATGAGTCAGGATTTCTCTGGGTGTTGGTCAGAAGCTCATTTTCAGTATGGGATGACGCTGTATGGCTCTGTTTGCTTTGTTAGGATGAAGTATTTGTAAGACATGGGAATTAACTGTTCATCCTATAAAATTTTACAGCTGTAGGTTGATTAATACTTAAGTTATTGAGCGAAACCTGGTTTCACCCAGTGACCCAAAAATCAATAAGGGTCTTTTACCCAATATGGACAATCATTCTATGAAGTTTGAATACTGTGGGTCAAATGGAACTTAAGTTTTGCTCCGGAAACTGTTTTCAGTTTTAATGTAATAGTGACCTTGATCTTTGACCTTGTGATCCCAAAATCAATAGGGGTCTTCTACCCAATATGGACAATCATCCTATGAAGTTTGAATATTGTGGGCCAAATGGAACTTAAGTTATGCTCCGGAGACCAAATTGCTAACGGACTGACGGACGGACAGACAGACGGACGCCAGGGGGTGTAACATAATATGCCTTTTCGGGCATATCAAAATCTAGAACACGGCAACTGCGGGATTTTCCACCTCACATGGTTGTTCAAACAAGCTGTTTCGCAATTCCTTCACGGTGCACTTGGCCTGTCGTTATCTAACGAAAGGAGATAAGAATCGTATGAAAACATCCGTCATATAGTGCGGAAATATACCGTTAGGTTCGGAATGCTAAGTAAAGTTATATTTGTTGACTTTTTTCCGATGTCTGGGTGATTCTGGTGCATAAATAAATGGCATACTTTCGATTTCGCCACAATGAGGTAGCAGACATTTAAGCTTACAAGATCTATTTTGGTCTTCTTGACATCAAAATAAGAACGGGACTCGATATGAAACGATAAAAATAGCTTTTTCTTTTTTCTAAAATTTTAAAAAACGAAATTAAAAAAATTTAAAACGGCTATATCGGGAAAAGTAATTACATGTTTTGATCTAATGGATTGTACCTTATTTACCTAAGCTAGGCACATATAATTTAAGACTTTTTAAACTTACTTAAACCCTTTTTATTATATGTTTGTTTTATAATTTGCTGCCATGTTTAATGAAAACCAAACTGTTGTGTTATTAACAGCATAAAGTCAACATCATTTACCAATCACCTTTTTACACACAAAGTATAAAATACAGTAATCTTTCGATCACTTCTTTTATACACACTTAATCATTTGTAAAAATACTTGAAAAAAAGAGTCTAAACTCTATTCTTGCATAAAAACTGTACATGCAGGTGAACATTAACGGAGGAGAACACATGCAGTGACAAATAAAAACAAACGATTTTGTGCCGTAATATGCGTTGCAATGACGGCTGCGGCAAATTCACGATCCTAGAACTTTTTCAAACTTTATTCTTATGTGCGAAAATGCCACATAAGCAATTCGTTTCGTTCCGAACGGTATCAAATTATATCAAGATTGGACAGATTTCAAACGTTAAACTACTACCGGTGTTTACTAATTCCTCATAAAGTTCATTGTTATTCATAATGAGATTAAGAAGAATTATAAGTCAAAGAAATGCAATACCCAATTTAGATTAAATGTTTTTCATTATGCCGTTTTTAAGTAATTTAACAGGTGTTCAATGATCACGGTATTTAATGCATAACAGATAATAATTGTTCTCATAATTGACAGGTGGTAAATTAATGCCTTATTTTATACTCTTAGAAAATATTGCCATGGGTCATATGTCATTGAAAATTATATAAATTTAAGAGAAGGTAACAGTTTCGGTAAATAAATGAGTGAATGGGAAAATATTGGTTTCATAACATTCGATCCTGTCTCAAAATCTCAATTTATTTATTTTCATCCATTGTTAACAAATTTAAGAGATTATTTGTATTTTTTTCAGCGTACACGCATTGCTTGACTCTTGGTTTTCATGGATTGACACGTGAGTGTCGTGTCATGTAAAATGTTCCATAATCATTGCCCCATGAATAGATCTGCAGATAAATTTAGAATGCTACTTAAGTTATAGATGGTAACATTTACAAAAATCGTTTATGATCAGAGTCATGAACATTTTAAATTTTTGCCAAGTTTGGTGACCTTCAGAATTTTTTTCTTTTTACTATTTTAGCAAAACACTATTAATTTTTTTTATCGATAGCTTGTTTAAATAAAATTAAATAAAAATTAAATCATAACTTTTTTTATTAACATTGTATATGAAATACTATGATACCTAACCTTACTTTAAAATTGATAGATTAAATAATTAATAAACAATTAAAAATATAATAAATAAAAAAAATCTTTCTGACACCATCGCACTATTTTCAATGACATTATTGTGACTCGTATTTTACATAAATCATCCATTTTGTTACGTCGTTATCATTTTCACATCCATGTTCAAAGTTCTTGTGCAGACCATTCTACTATGTTTTGCTGGTATGACGTTCTTATGTGTTCATCATTATACTAAAAACAAATGCTGTTCATCATGACAATTTGATAAAATTGTTCGGCCAGATTTATTTTTTAACTGGGATAAGCCAAATGTCAATTAAATAAGCTTAATTAATATTGTACCAACTTTATAAACAGTATTAAACTACACGAATAATGAAAATTAATTTTATATGTAAACAATTCCGACCTAATCAAATAAATGTGTTATTCTTTTAGACATCAAACCACATTGTCAGCTTTGCGGCACAATGCAAGTGGCTTAAAATGGCAATTGTTTATTGAGTCATTGTAACCGGTAGCGTATTATTATCTTACATGTATATCAATGTAAGAAATCTTAACGAAAAGATATGATCGTCTTTTAAAAAAAAATCTTTCATTTAATTTTTCTTCTGTGCAATCACGCAATGTGTCGAGGTTTGAATTTGTTTCGTAACAAAATTTTTAGGTAACAAAAATTATCACAAGCATAATGTTTCATAGTCCTGACCATTGGCATAATGTAAGAAATAAAGATAAATAAATATCTCAATTGATAAGACATATGAATAAACAATGAATTAGATTTGTGTAGAATGTTGGTACTAGGTACTAATATTTGGTATATACACTGATATAATCATAGCATCAGTCACGGCAGAATAAAATAGATAAATTGCTTGTTTAGCTCACTTATTTCGTTTGAAATTTGAATGAAAAATTCATCAATTAGTTTTTCTTTAACATGCATTTTATTAAATAAACTGTATAATAAAAATTGCTTTTTTAATTATCTTTTTTGTTTAATTTAAATAGAGTAATCTTGCTGAACTTGATGAAATTTATGGAATTTTATTTGGTATGATGAATGCCGTTGACTCTGGAATCAAACACAAATACATGTAACTTAATATCAATCTTCTATTCAGGGCCGATTTATTTCGATTGTAACAAAATAAAAACTAATTTTGCAATTAAACACTCCTGTATAATTCCGTTAAATAAATTACAATAATATTTTATGATACTATCAAATATTAAAATATTTGAATTATGTTTAAATAAGAGTAAATGAAACATCCTCAAAATATATTTAGTAATCATCAAACATACACTTTCAGCTAGTATAGTACCAATAAGCACTATTAAAATCGGACAGTTTGTTACTATCTGCTTGTTAAATAGAAAAATCAAAGTCCGATTATCATAATGGTGGTCATTGACGAAATGTAAAAAAGAGAATATTTTAATACCAACAAATCTTAATTTACAGTTAAAGTCAGTTTAAGTAAACTTTAGGTCATTTATTATCCGGCAGAATAAGTTGTGTAAGTTAATACTTAACCAATATTTAATCAGTCTCGCTAACTAACTGAGATTATAGCTTAAATTATATAATGATTTAAATATAGAAATCACGTTTTGAGCAATGTGAAACAATGTTCCCATTTTGTCTCATCTACGCAAGTATCGGATAATGGCCACTTAAAGAAATAATAATGTAAACTAAATCACACACGTAACCTTTTGAATGTACTACAAACCTTTACAAAACATTTCTAATGGA